TTAACATTATCAAGAAGATGGGGAGCAAAGAGATGAAGCAGCTTTCTGGAATGATGTTACTAGTCAAAGCAGAGCCTGAGAAGTGGGGATATCATCCCTGCCTCCTGCCACCATCCACTTGGGCTGGTTTATCAAGGTAGCCTCCCGGGGACCGGAAGTGTCAGAAAAGACTCAGGTGGCCTCAGTGCTCAGGATCCTGGCCTCTTGAGGTGTTTAAGTACCATGACTCAGATTCCCTCCTGCCGTCTGGATGGAAAAGCAGCTCTGGAAGAGATGGGCTGACTGCAGCCAGGATCCCTAGCCCTGGAAAATCCAGCTGCTGAGACCAGCTCTGGCCAGCCCCTCAGCTGGGATTCTGGCTGCAGTCAGTCTGTCTCTCCCGTAGCTGGCAGGGGTGTCTCAGATTGGGTGCAGGGACCATGCCCTGATTATGAGCAGACTGCACTGGGCCGCCCCGGCAGCCACCAAGCAGGCCGCCTGGGCCAGGGGCTCTGGGACATTGCATGGACCAGACAGAAACCTCTGGGCTGGCTCAGCATGTGATGTCCTACTCTCCACACAAATCAACTTCCTTGTTCGCTCATTCATTCGTTCTGGAAGCTGTCATATGCCAGACGCTCCTTTGCACTGGGATCCCTGAGGTTGGTGCCATTGTCCTGCCATCCAGGCTGCACTCTCCAATACGGAAGACGCAAACAATTGAAGTGTAGCTGGTCTGAACTGAGACATGCTCTAAGAGTCAAATGCACCCCAGATTCCAAACACTTAGCACTACAGATATGTGTCTATATATGTGTGTGTGTATATATACATATAACATTTCATTCATAACTTTATTAGATTGAGCATACGTTGAAATGATAATATTTCAGATAGATAATGAACAGATAATAGATAACAAGATTATAGATATAAGGTATATAAAATAATAGATAATAATCTAGTTAAAGAAAATATATTTTTTAAAATGAATCTCAGCTTCTTTTTACACTTCTTACTGGGCTTAATTGGGGCTTCCTACGTGGTGCTAGTGGTAAAGAACCCACCTGGAGACATAAGAGATGTGGGCTCGATCCCTGGGTCAGGAAGATCCCCTGGAAGAAAGCAAAGCAACCCACTCCAGTATTCTTGCCTGGAGAGTCCCATGGACAGAGGAGCCTGGCGGGCTACAGTCCATAGGATCACAAAGAGTTAGACATGACTGAACAACTAACATTTTCACTTTCACAGGCAGAAACGTAGAAATAGGTGAAATTAATTTTAATCATATGTTTTCCTTTACCCAGGATATTTAAAATGCTATTGTTTCAGTATTTTTAAATTAATTTATTTTAACTGGAGGGTAATTACTTTACAACACTGTGATGGTTTTGCCATACATCGACACGAATCAGCCGTGGGCACACATGTGTCCCCCATCCTGAAGCCCNCAGAGTCCACAAGTCTGTTCTGTACATCTGAGCCTCTTTTTTGTTTTGCATATAGGGTTATCATTACCATCTTTCTAAATTCCATATCTATGTGTTAGTATGCTGTAATGGTCTCTATCTTTCTGGCTTACTTCGCTCTGTATAGAAAACCCTCCTTGGCAGCCACAGGGGGATCAGCAGCTTCCTGAATGTTGTCACTTCCATCTTCTGGGCACGGTCACCCATGCAGGTGCTTCAGTTCATAAACTGGCAACTTGGGAGCAAAATCTCTCTTTGCAGATTTTACCTTTTGATGATGTCATTGGAGGGAAGCTTTGGGGTGCACACACCAGAGACCCAACTGCTCTTGTTTTCCCAGAGTCCTAGAAAGGGCAAGCTGCACTCTCAATTCCTATGTGGTTCCTATACCATTCAGATGGATGACTTGCCACAGACCCCTTCAATTTTTCATCTTCGGGTTTCTCCTCTGTTGAAACTCTGATGCCTATGGTCACCTATGAGGCTTGAGGTACAGATAAAATGAAGCAACATGTGTAAAATGCCTCACGCTGTGCTTCATAAAGAATTGATCAAAAAACGGTATCAAGTTTCTTTCCCTTTGAGAGCTGTCATAAAAGATTCTTCCCACCCCCAAGAGCAGCCCAGGAGAACTGTAAACTCAAACAGCATGACTGGGGATCAGATTCCTAATCCTTTCTCCATCCCCCATGTACGGAACTTCAAGGCATCAGTTCATTTCAGAAAGAAATGTACAAAAAATATGCAGATTAGAGCCAGCCCCGCAGGGAGCTCTCTTCTGAGCACCACAATCAGTTTTAACTGGTAAGAACACAGCTTCTCTGTTTCCCTGGGCTCTGCCTTATTGGAGAAGCAGTTTAAAAACTGTTCCTAATCTCCAAGGAGTTTCCAGGTGTTTAATAACTTGCCTGGGTAATAAACAACTGAATTCTGGGAAACCATTATGTGAGAATCAAAGGAAGCAGCAAGTTCTGGGCAGAACTAGGGAAAAGCATTGGTTTTTGAAGTCTGACAAATCTGAGTCAGAAACTCGATTCTGTTGCCAATAAACATGTTAATCTTTGGACAAATTGCTTATGTCTTTGAGCACCAAGGTATTGATCTGTAGAATGGGATAATATGTATCTTGCAAGGGAAGAATTATACATCCAAGGTAACAATGTATTAATTATCTGTGGCAGCATGACAAATTATCCCTAAGACTTACTGACTTAAAATAACTTCATGATCTCGGTACCTGTGGGTGAGGACTCTGGGCGGCGCTTAGCTGGGTCCTCTGGCAGCAGTCAAGGTGTCAGCAAACGCTGTGGTCTCATTTCAAGGCTTGCCTGAGGGAGGATCTGCTTCCAAGCCCTCTCATTGGCTGTCAACAGACCCAGAGCCTCGGGGGCTTTTGAATGGAGGGTATCAGCTTCTCATTGGCTGTTGGCTGGAGTTCTTCCTCCGTTCCTTGCCACGGGAGGCGGGGAACCTCTCCACAGGGCAGCTCACAACATGGCAATTTGTGTCGTCAGAACAAGAAGGCAAGAAGAGTCAGAGAAAGAGACAGACTGCAAGACAGAAGTCAGTCTTTTATAACCTAATTAGGAAGGGACATCCCATCACTTTTGCTATATTCAGTTTATTAGAAGCAAGTTGCTGGGTCCAGCTCACATTTAATGGGGGCGGGGAATACACACGGAGGTGAGTCCTAGGAGGGGGTTGGGAACAGTTTTAGAAGCTGCCTGCCACAATATTTAAAGATTCTTAGTAAACAGTAGTTGTTAGCACCGAAATGCGAAAGCAATGTTCATCACAGAAATAGGAGAAACCTCCTGGATTATGTATTAGGGGCACGGAATTCAACAATCATATGATGCTATCAGTCGATAAAAGAGGTTTATTCTAACCAATGCTACCTTATCCAAAGAACACATTTAAAGATACATTTAATTTATAATGAACACTGGTTTGATAACAGGTTACCAGATAACAATGTTTGGACATTAGAATTGAAAGGCACCTATTTCCCCTACATAATGTTTTATCATATATCTAAATCTCTTTCCAGTTATTGTAGGATGCCCATGTTTTTATGGAGATGTAAAGATATGCACCTAGATTTTCTCATTTAACAATATTATAAAGGCATTTAATCCTACTGCACAATCTTTATAATTAGCACTTTAACAGCCACAAAACATTTCCAATCGGTAGATGTATGTCAGAACTTCAATTTACTTGACCATTCCCTTATTCTGTGACATATAAGTTGCTCCAGTGTTTTGTCACCGAAAGCAATTGAGTATCTTTTGTGTGATAATTTTTTCCCCATAATTTGAATTGTGTCTTTAGGACAAAAGTCCCAGAAAAGCAATTAGAATATGTACCTTTTAATGGCTCTGTCAAGTTTTCATTCAAATGGGAAGCTGGCTTTGGTTTTTCTATAAGCAAACACTGCTCCATAAACTCCAGATTGAGTTCCTCAAAGCAGAGTCCCTAGTTCACTTAAAAAAAAAAAATTTTTTTTTATACCATGGCATGTAGCCTATAAGCAACAACTAGTGAATGTTTGTGGATTGAATGAATGCATGAACAAAGATATTTAAAACTGAAACTTCAGGAAAAATATTTTAACTAGATCTGTTGTTTCTTAAAAAAAAAAAAAAATCAAGAGATACTGCATTTCCATTTAGATTTTACTAAGAGATGTGGAGGATTTATCCATGCCAAGCCCTGGCGTTCTGTTGCCATTTCCTTCTTTTATTTAATCCCCACAGCACCCCCTAGTGTTCATTTCCCATACAGCAACAATGAAACGCTGGAAGCCTCCATCACATTCCATCACACACCTGTCTGAAGGGGTCCCAGGAGGCGTCTGACAAGCTCCCGTCACTTGAGAAGAAACGGGAAGACCCTTCACTGGGGAAAATGGTAGTTCTGGAGAAACCTCCACTTGGGTGGGAAAAACTTTTCCCTGAATGTAGTTCAACCTTAGCCAAACTGCGAATCAGGTTATGTAACATTTGAGTAAGCTGCGCACAAATGACCCTAGAAAAATAATTTTATAATTTATTGGTCAAAATTTACTCTGATTAATGAGCCCTGACACTTTCTGCAGCACTGAACTCCACAGGACTCTCCTCCCCCAGTTCTTTTTTTTTTTTTTTAAAGAAACGTTCCTCCTTTCATTTCTGGAGCTATCACTCTCATTTGTTAGACCCAGGAAACCAAGCTGCATGCATAAGAACAGAGAGTGTGAGTGACAACCAGAATTTAAGGTACTGTTGGGTACCACCGCGGGTTGAGCGGCTAAACTTTGACTGCAGCGCCCCCTGGTGGACAGCGAGTGGTTTGGCTTGTCCAGGGCCTCTTGTCACCGGGTGGCATCACCGACTCAATGGGCATGAGTCTGAGCAAGCTCCGGGAGTTGGTGAAGGACAAGGAGGCTTGGCGTGCTGCAGTCCATGGGGTCGCAAAGAGTCGGACACGTCTGAGAGACTGAACTGAACTGAACCTGTCCCCTGGGTTCAGCTGAACGCCTCCCCATCGCTCTCTCTCCCTGTCTCCTAGGTGAAGGAGGCCATGCAGCGGATCCACGACCGAGGGAACATCGGCAAGTTAATTCTGGATGTAGAAAAGACCCCGACCCCACTGGTGAGTCCAAAGGAGAGGCATCTGTTTGCCGCAGCAGGGGAGGGTTTTCAGGGGCAGGCACACATGGGGTGGAGGAGAGCTTTCTGCTCTCAGCTCTCTCAGGGTGGGGGAGACCCCAGGTAATCGAGGGAGGGATTAGTCACAGGTGGGATGAATGCCAATAAGAAAAGGAAAAGGCTTCAGCGAGAACATTTCCAGAGCCATCCGAGGGCAGACGGGAGAGGACAGAAACCACAGCCCATGCCTGTTACCCGAGCTCACTCTTGGCTCCAAGTGGGAGGAATTCCTGGTAAGGAATTGCATAAGGTGCATAAACTCACATTCAGATCCCCAACAGAGTGACGCCACCTGCCTCCGGGCTGCATCCGGCTGGCCCCGTGGCTTTTGTTTCTCCTTACCAGGACAACATCCTTACATGCAGGGATCCCCCCACACATACACCCTGTCCGTCAGGAATGAAGAGTGTCACACGCACATCCCAGGCCCTCTGGCAAGGCTCCCTTGAGGGGCTCTGCAGTGTGGCGGGCCGCACGCAGACTGCATGGACCCCGAGCCCAGCTCTGAACCCCTGCCTGACCTGGGCAGCTGTGCTTGCCCTGGCTGCAGCTCCGCTGTCTGTAAACTGGGGCTGAATACGCCCTCGTCAGTCAGGTACAATGACACGCACAAAACTTCGCCCCACACAAACTACGTCCTAGGAACGACTTAGCCGAGAAAACGCTCGGGAGTTTTTTGGTTTGTTTCCTCGCTTGTCTAGCTTTGGCGCTGCATCAGTGGTTGATAAAAGAGGAAGAACTACAATCCTGGCATGTTTTAGTCCAACGTGTACACTTTAAAAAGTATTTCCTTGGCTTCTGTAACCAGAATGTGGCTTGGGTATGATGGCCATTTCAAACAATGAAGAACAATTTAGTGAGAGGATATTTTACAACATGTAAGTGACTGATAACAATCTGGATATAATTTTTAAAATGCCTTTTAAGCCCCAGGACTGGACCAGCAAGTGTTTGGAGGCAGCTAAGGGGTCAAGTTAGGCCAGAATCGCCAGTCTTCTGTGCACCAGTGTTCCGTTTTTTAAACCCGTGACTGAGTCTGTTTCAGTCCCATCAGAGGAGGGGGTCTAGTGCCTGGCTGCACCACTTATTGCTCCAAGCACCAGAGTTGTTCCTGGCTTCCTGCCCGTCCATCACACCTGAGGTCCTGCTGGGCGGTGGGGCTGGTAGGAAGGCCTGCTTGACCACAGGCAGATTCTCAACAGGGCGGGAGCTGCGGAGCCACCTTTCTGAGTAAAAGCTCAGGCCCTGCCGTGGCGGGGGTCGCTGTCCTCGTTGCTGGAGCTCCGGGTGCTCTCACCCCAGGACCTGAGCTGACGGCAGATGGGCCACTCAGACCTGCGGCGTGGGGAGCATCTCTTGGCGGGAGGGGCCCGTCCCTCCTGAATGGAGACGAGGCTTGAAGGAGAGGCAGCCAGCGGTGAGGGTATTTCAAGGGAGAGCAAACAGCACAGGGTCGGGGCCTGTGGGGCCGCATCATGGCCCTGCAGCACATGGGGGGCGGGCAGCGAGGGGCTCCCAGGGGCACGCTCTCCTGGTGGAACGGCCACTGGCAGAGCCCTGAGTCTGCCCCACTGAAGCCACTGCAGGGCGCACACCCGCCACTCAAAACCGTCTGGGCTGCAAGGTGTGGGGGCAGCAGGCTGGCAGAAGGTTGTCCTTGCTGCCGGCACCGGACGCAGATGGGCCGACAAGCAGCGTGAGCATCTGCTCTGCCGGGGCCTTCTCCTGATGGGGACAGGCGAGCGCAGCGGGGCTCACCTGACGCAGCGCGGGGGGTCAGAGCCCAGATGGAGCTGCTGCCTGCCCACCCGCGGTGTCAGACGGCGCCCCAGGCCCCAGAGTGGGCTGGCGACCTTCTCTGCAGCCTGCTGACCTCCGCTGCCCCACGGCCTCCCGCTTACATGTCACCTGAATCTCCCTCTGCACAGCTCCAAAACAACTGGCAGCAATAGTTACTGCTGTGGCCACTACTTCATGGCTGTTGAGAAGAGAGAAAGGGGCCTGGCATGGTGGTGAGCACGTAATATGTACTAATAAGGAAGAACTCTCACCACTGTGTGATCGCTGGTCTAAAACATGCATTGCCTTCCTGTGTGTTAGGCACTGTGCTAGGTGCAGAAGATAAAATGGAAGGCAGCAGGAGACTGGGTCATCTGTCCTGTTGCCTGCAGTTCCCACAGCGGGGCAGGGTGTCATCTGTCCACAGGCCTTGTGTATAAGTGGGACACGGTAGCCATGCATCTGGGCCACAGAGGAGCACCCACGATAGGGGGACTGTTCCTTAGAGAGGTCTGGGAAGGCTTCCTTGAGGAGGCGGGCTGCGTGCTAAAGCGGAAGCAGGCGTGGCAGGCAGGAGGGTGGAGGGGAGGAGCTCCAGGGGGAGGGCACTGCATCTGTTAGTGGCTGAGAGAGAAAGTGGAGCTCCAGGTTAGACCACGAGGGAGGGGGCGGTGCTGAGAGTCAAGGGCCGATTCCTGTCTCTGTTGGATTACAGATGGCCAACGACAGCACGGAGACCAGTGAGGCGGGCGAAGAGGAAGAGGACCACGAAGGAGACAGTGAGAACAAGGAGAGGATGCCCTTCATCCAGTAGCCGCGACCCAGGCGGGAGGATGTGAGGGATGCTCTGGGAGAAGAGGATCCAGCTGAGAAAACTCTTCTGTGCCCCAGTGAACAAATGCTGTAGTCCAGTGCGTGTTGTGTTTGTCTGCTGTCAGCTGAGCTAAAAAAAAAAAAGCTGTTGATCACTGTTGTTTTTGAAATTAAGTGCCAAGCTCATACACACAGTATTATGTCCCTCCCCCATGTGTATTTTACACTCTGCCCTCTTCTCTGTTTCAAAACCATCCATCTTTGGGTCCTTCTCGACAGTTCTAGAACAACCTTGGAAATCGATACGAGCCCACAGGTCTGTTGCTTAAGAGGCCAGATGTGGGCAAAGACGAGTTTGGGTTGAAAGATGTTATCACAGAGCACCGTCCAGATCCGAGACTTCTTTGGGCCAGTGATCCTTTTTGCTGCCAGCCGCCCATGCTTCCGACAGGAGCACTTGCCAGTTTGGCCGGCAGAAAGAGGGTAGGCCGGGAGAGGTTTTCACGAGCCCATTAACTGGAGGATCTCTCCAAGTCGTACTGTCCTTCTTCCCACTGAAGAGGCAACCTCTTCACCTTCATTCAGGTGTTTCATGGTCAAAAGGTTGAGAGACCGTCCTGCCACCCTCTGATGCTCAACCCCTTCACCAGTTCTTCACCACAAACACAGGAGAAGAGAGGTGCATTTTTCAGGACAGAAGATGGGTCAACAGCAAACGTGTGAGGACCAGCCACAGGGATTCCTCCTCTGAAACCACATCACGAGAGCAAAACCCCCTCCCTGCTCTATAGGTTTCATTTTAAGAAAAGGCACCAGGTGTAGGGCTATTTCAGAGTCATTCCTGAGACCTGCCTCTGTCTGTACACTTGCTATGGCATTACCCTTCTTGCTATTTTCATTTCCAGGTACTGAATAACCACCTTTACCGTAGATTCCTCTCCTCCCCCAGGGAAGACCTCCTTTGTGGACCCTATTTGAGGGGGAAAAAATCAATGAGTATCTTTTTTCTTGCCAAAGCATGTTTATACATGTAACAAACTCTAGTGATACAAAAGGTTGATGTTTATTATCTGATACCAAATGTGTGTTCCTCTCCTCTGAAATATAAAATCATGGTGCAGACTCTTTGCAAGATCATGCTTTTCAGAAATCAGGGGCCAAACTACTCGATCGCACACCCTTGATGAACTTTCCAGCTCCCAAATTCCTAAGGAGCCCACCCCCTAGCCCCACCCTGCTTGACATGGCTTGAGGCGATCAATTCCTCTGGAGGAAGAGAAAGAGAGTCAGTGAATCCCTGGAGATGGGTGGGGGAGGTTCCTCATCACCTTCTCCCAGTCCTGTAGGCCGTCACTAGCAAGCCAAGCTGGAGACACAGGAGCCCACACGGTGAGCACCCTGACTCACTTGCCTTCTGCAAGACACCAGAGGGCTCCCGCATTGCCCGATCTCTCCACCACTGAGCCTTAGGGTAGAACCCACTCTTCCCCCAAGTGATGGCAATGAACGCATCTCAGCAATTACCTGTTTTATTCCCTAAGTCCTTTGGAACAAATGTCACCTCCCTGAACATGTGCTTTTTTCCCATCTTAAGCTTGTGATGATGACTTATTTATGCCAAATAGTTATCTGAAAGAAGTGTCTCCTCATTGTATGTACACGTAAGCTATGAAGATGAGAAAGGGTGATGCCATCTGGTGGGCAAAGGGACCCATGTATCTCAAAAGAAGACGGCAGCATCAACTTCTCTTCCCACCCCAGGACACGTCAGTATTCCAGGTCTTGGCCACTTTAGAAAGATAACATAGAGGTTGTGTTCCCCCCTCTCCCAACACGTTTGCTAAATGCTGTGCTACTGGTCACGTTTCTCCCACTGCCAAGTGTTCCATGAGGTCTTAAGAAGAGCTGCTACCCAAGTGACATTCCTGGTGAGCTAGACAGAAATGGCATTTTCTTGGGCTGGGGGAGGACAGACCCGTGAGCATCTCAGGTCTCTCCTCTGGCTGGGGAGACAGAGCTCTCCATTCAGAAGCCAAATGCCTTCGTTATGTCCAGTGGATTAGCATGAGAAGACCTTCCTCCCCAAGTCTGTTTTTTCAACTTTAATCACAAATTGTGCTGGTGAGTTAAATAAAACCCTTTTGTCTCCTTGAAATACAGAATGAGAAGAGAAAACTAGTGTATGACCCATAAGATCAACTAATGCTGTGAAGACCCGGGGGAAAATTAAAGTACCAAAATTCACCATTTAACACTCTTGTTTGAAGCATCTTCGCTGTCACATGATTATTTTCCTGAAGGAAGTGTACAGAATGTCTCAGGTTGCCTTAAAGGAACTGTGAAGGCTTCTCCATAATTTAAGATTGATTGGAGGGAACTGAAACATTGTCTAATGTATTTGTGGCTTTAGAGCTTTTGTTATATTGTGCCTACAAAGCAAATTATGTTTACATTAAAAAATATAAATAAAAGTATTCAGCATAGCATAACCTTGCCTGGCATCAGTTATTCTACATACATAGTTGTTGCAAAAACAGTCCCACTATTAAAACACAAGGTCCAGGTGGCTAAAAAAGAAAATACAAAAAAAACACATCCGGGAAGAATCCTCCAATGAGGGAACTAAAGGCTACATAGAAAAAATAGGAGTTGAAGTGAGACAAGCCTTTAAAGGGGCTTCCCTGGTGGCTCAGTCTGCAATGCAGGAGACTGGGGTTCGACCCCTGGGTTGGGAAGATCCTCTGGAGAAGGGAATGGCAACCCACTCCAGTATTCTTTCCTGGAGAATCCAGTTCACAGAGTTGCAAAGAGTCAGACACGACTGAGCGACCGAGCGACTAAGCACAAGCTTTGAAAAAGGCATTTAGCTTCCCTCAAGCTGAATACACACACACACACACACACACACACACACACACACACACACACACACATATATATACAAATACATTCTCTTACCCTCCCAACAACCTTAAGAAGTGGGGTCCATCGTTATTCCCATTTTACAGGTGAAAAAACTGAAGACAGGTTTTGCACTAAGATTACACAGTTAGGAAGTGGTGGAGCCAGGATTTAAAGCCACAGTAGAATCCATGCCCTTACCTGCCCCATATGCTTCTTGGCTTAAATAAGGGGTAACATATAATGCACTTCAAGTTACCATCCCTTCTCACTAGAAACTCTTGAGGGATTCCCTTTCCTTTGATTTCAAGGATACATTTGGCAATTTGTTTTGTTTTGCAACAAATAATATGCACATTAAGAAGCATTTTTTTTTGGTCCAGCCTATGATCCAAGTATACAGTGAAGTGTTATTTTAAATCTCACACATCTCAACCATTTTCATTTTCATGATCAAATCAATATCCTCAAGGTTATCAAAGAGATGCACAGAAGTGAATCTCCAAGGAAAAAGGTTTTGTGAAGGAGGAGTTCATGATTAGGGAGGCTTCTTCCTTCCTTCTCAGTAGGAAGCCCAAAATATTAGAGCTAAGTTGCAAGTTAGTAAAATGCCACATACACAAACCTGAGTTAACAAGGCAGAAAGCTTAGTCACACTGTGCGTGGAATTCTTACAGGATCAGCGTGCAGAGGACTTTCTCATCCTGCTCTCACTGAACGCTCCTGTGCTCCGTGTAAGGCTCGTGACTTCACAGAGCCAGTGTTGGTGTGCTGTCACATGGAAACACAGTTCAGCAAAAAAACTGGAACATAAACTAGAACCCGTGTCTTCACTTGCAAATCTGAGAGTGGGGAGTAGGGCCTGTAGCTGGAAACAAAACTCTTTTAAGCCACGTGGATGAAGGTAGACCAGAAATGGAGGCAAATCTCTCACATGCCATTTGGGACAGAGGAAAACATCTGTGTAAAAGCAAGGATATGGGATCACTGAAGGGCATTTTGGCAGGATGGGAAACAACACTGCAGCTGAAATACACGCTCCCCTGTGTGGGGCTGGAGTGGGGCTGGAGAAAGGCATGAGGCGAAGTCCAAACAGGTCACAGAGGTCTCTGAATGCCAAATGAATAATCCTGGATTTCCTGGGAAGAAACAAGGGTGTGCAGAGGGGTAACATGAAAGCCTGGGGGTGTGGGAGGTCATTACAAAGAGTAAACGTGGGGCTCAGTGGGAGGAGGGACAGGAGATAAGCCTAAAGGTGAACCAGAGGTAGACAGCAAGTCCCTTGATCTCTTTGCCCTGGTTTGGGTCCTCCAGAATCAGACACTGAAACAAGGATTTGAAAGTCAGCAGAACTGGGAGGTGACCCTGAGAAGCACAGATGGGGGAAGAGGGGATATAAGACTGGAAGAGGAGACGCCACTTCGGGTGCGTCTGTGAGCAAGTGACTACTGGAGGAGACCTACGGCTAACTCACCTGGGGAGGAGGATGTATTTCTCCATTAACTTCCAAGTATTACTGGATGAGAGCAACTCCTAATAAGTGTGTTGATTCCCTGATGCTCTTCCATCTCGGGCAACAGGTCTAGAGGAAGGGCAGAAATGGACACCAAGGGATTTCCCTGGTGGCCGGGTGCCTAAGACTCCATCCTCCCAACGCAGAGGACCTGCATTCAGGGAATGCATTCAGGACCTGCATTCAGCCCTTGGTCAGGGAACCAGATCCCACAGGCAGCAACTAAAGATCCCATGTGCCACAACTAAGACCCAGTGCAACCAAGTAGATAATTAAAAAGAAAAAAAAGAAATGCAATGTTTTAAAAAAGAAATGTTACACCAAGATATGTAAATTAGATTCAAAGAGGCAATGTTAGAGGGCAGAGGGTGGTGCAAAGTAGAGGGTCTGACTCTGATGGAAGACGATGTTGAGGAAAGTGTACATGGAGGTGATGGCTGAGTGCAGTCTCTAGTCTCTCTCTCTCTTTTTTTTGACAGTACCAGGGAGCATGAGATCTTAGTTCCTTGATCTGGGATCAGAATGGAAAAACCATATCCTTGACTAGACGGACCTTTGTTGGCAAAGTAATGTCTCTGCTTTTTAATATGCTGTCTAGGTTGGTCACAACTTTCCTTCCAAGGAGTAAGTGTACCTAGTGAGCATGACAAGGGCTGGGAAAATGGGGTGATTAGGAAATACTCAGTAGCTTCCTTTTCTTAAACAACAGATAATACATAGATCTCACTATGTCACTTCCAAATTTGCTTGTGGGCAAAGATATAAGTTGTTATAGACTCAGTGTGTCCCTCCAAAATTCACAGTTTGAAGCCCTTCCCTTTCCCCATGTGATAGTATTAGGAGGTGGGCTTTGGGGAGGTAATCAGGATTAGGTGAGGTCTTGAGGGTGGACCTCATGAATGGGATTAGTGCCCTTATAAGGGTCATGAGGGGCTTACTGTCTGGTGACTCAGTCAGTAAAGAATCTGCCTGCAATGCAGGAGAGGAGGATTCCATCCCTGGGTTGGGAAGATCCCCTGGAGAAGGGAATAGCTACTCACTCCAGCATTCTTTCCTGGAGAATTCCATGGACAGAGGAGCCTGGCAGGCCTCAGTCCATGGGGTTGCAAAGAAACAGACACGACTGAAACCTAGCACAGATAGATAAAACAGTCAGGAGAAAACTGATCCCCCTGCTCCCTCATTTACTGGCAGTCCTCAACCCAGAGGAGTACTCCCTCTCAAAAACTTGACCATGCTGGCACCCTGAAAACTACAGTTTTGTTGTTTAGAGGCTACCCAGTCCATGATATTTTGCTATAGCAGCTTCAATTCTCTAAGGCATAAATGTTTTATCCTCTCTGTCTTAAGCAGAATAAGCAAAGCTCTTATTATGAGCCAATCAAATATGCCGGGAAATTTGTCCTATGAGTTATTCAAATTGGCTCCCAAACACCCAAACAAGGGAGTGACTCAGCAGCAAGTGAAACCCAAACACACCACACGCATATGCTCCCACATGTGCAGCGACCAAGCACATACGCCTTGGAATCCTGCAAATCAGGAATCAAACTTGGGTAAAATGCTTGGCATTTGAGCTCTCCCCTACTGAAATCAAGATGATCATATGGTCTACATCCTAGAATTGTTATGAAGATGAAATGTAAAGCATTTGTATAACCAGATTGAAACCATTGACCCACACGTTCCAATCTGGAAATCAGATGGCAGATGCTTTCAAAACAAGGTGGTTTTTTTTTTTTTTATTCATCCAACAAGTTAAATACCTAACATGCTCTCAGCATAGTATTTTTAGTGTTTTAGCAGGAAAAATAAGAAGTACATAGTCTTTTCCAGCCCTTCAGGAGTTTACAGTTGAATGATGTAACAACAAATAAGTTTTCTCTCTAGTGCAAACAGCAATCTATTTGTAGAGCCTGCCTTGGTACAGAGAGCTGGTGTGGGCTGAGCAGTCAACAGTGCTATATTTGATGAACCATGTTCATCAGAAACAGGGGAAGAGAGTGGTCCAGGAGAAGGAACTATCTTTAGGCACATTAGTGGGAAAGTTCAGGCCAAGTTCATGGAATGGTCCATTTAGCTACTGCACCCATCAGGAGAAGAGACAAATGATTAATATGGCTGGATTATAGAAATAACATTAATATCCTTTCAAAGGTTCTGGACTTTGTACTAAAAGCAAAGGGATTAACCCAGGGATTAATGGAGACTGTTCTCAAGTAAGAGGAGATCATGAGAAATCTCCCCCGGATGAACACCATTATTTATATGGCCCAGGAGGTTCAAGTGGTAAGCAATCCACCTGCCAATGCAGGAGATGCAAGGGACACAGGTTCAATCCCTGGGTCGGGAAGATCCCCGGAGAGAATGGCAACCCACTTCAGTATTCTTGCCTGGAGAATTCCATGGACAGAGGAGCCTAGTGGGCTACAGTTCATGGGATCACAAAGAGTTGGACACGACTGAGCATCCACGCACAGAGGTTCTTCTAGCTTTGGGAGGCAGATCAGATTGCAGGGGTCATATCAGAATCACTATTCTTTGGCAAGTCCCTCACACAGTCCATCCATAACACATTTGGTCATAAATTTCAGCAGCACTAAACTGGCATGAACATGGGTGGGGAAAAACACCTCCTCCTTTCAGGAGTGAAACAAAGAGGGGCTGGTGATGTAAGCATTTCCTTAAGAGGGGGGGCCACTTATCCAGAGGTGCCCCCCCAAATGTAAATCTGGGGGAGTTGGGAGTCAAAACTACTGGAGCTGGGAGTCAAAACCAACATAGGACAATGACCCAAGTGGCATACTTACAAATGTTCATAAAGCTTGGGCATAAATGGCCATACTTACAAATGGGCATCAAGCTTGGAATCATTTTCGAAAAACTATCCCACCTTAGAGTTTGGAGATTTTCATAGAGTGAAATCAAATCAAGGAAAAGCATGAAAGTGAAACAAACATTTACTGAGGATTTGCTCTTTGCCAGGCATTTTACACATGCTCTCACTGAATCAAAACATTACCTTAAAAAGTAGATATCATTCCTGCTTACAGATCAAAGACATTAAATTCCAGA